GCGCAGCTTCATCAATGGCCAAGTGACCTGTGAACAAGCTAAGAAACATGCCACCCAAGTAAAGTTCTGGCGTAACATCCCGCATAGTCTTAGTCAGGTGATCGTGAAGCGGCTGCGATTTGTGGCTAAGTGTCTGCAAAACAAGATTATAAGCAGAGGCCTGTGCTGTTTCATCGGCAGTGTAGAATGATAAAGGCAATGGTCGGTTCAAAACATTAGCGAGCGCGATGAACACTGTTTCGGCATTGGGAAGGTTCAATAGAAGTAAGGCCGCAATAGTCTGCAACAGCAAAGTTAGTAAACACTGAACAAGCCAGAAGAATATTCAAAAGTTGGGAGGCCATACATTACACCCAGACACGTAACCAATATCGCTCCTGTACATGGCATATGCACTAAGCACATCAACTAATGACGAATGCAGAGGTCCAGTGATTTCAAAGATTTTAAGATTCTTCCAAGTCTTGTCACTTGCATCTTTGCGAATCTGCTCAAACCACTTGGCTCGCCTAGCATCTTCAGCGTCTGCTCTGTCGGTGCGAACTCTCTCTTCCAAATCACGAGCGCGAGCCAGAGCAGTTCGGAAAGTAGCCTCTGTCAAACCAAGCTCATTGCCAATGGCACGAGCCCAGACAACGCCGCGACTTCTCGGGGCGACTCCTCGCCACCACATGTCCCTTGTGCGTCTCTCACGTATGGCATCATTCCATCGCGGGATGATGTCACCTTCCCAAATGTGCATAAGGTTGTCCGCAGTGTTGTCTCTTGACTCGGTCCTTGATCGTCGAGCGGCCTCACGCCTCTCGTCGGCTTTGGCACTGGCAGCCATCATCTTCTGATACTCTTTCAGGTGGCGACGTTCTTCCGCTGGATCCTTGGGCGGTAACCAAGACGGTCGGGTACGGCTGAGAACAGCCTCCTTCTCCTTTGATATGGGTAGCGGATCTATCATGATGTCGGTTCGCCGCAGCGGTGGCAATTCGGGGGTTGACGACTTTACTCGGGCTTTTTTATCGTACACATGGTCATAGGGCATGTGACTTGAATTCCAGGTATTTGGGCGGGCAGATCCTGATGGACGGCGGCTAGAACGCTCATGTAGCTCGTCGGCGTGTTCCTCCAGCTTTTCGGTCAGCGCCTTAGATTCGGCGTTCAAATCGGCCAGTGCCAAGTTCCAGCTATTGGCTCTTGATTTGTGCGGGCTTGATGGCGGCTTGTCCGATGCATCTGACTTCCACGAAGGAGATCGAAGGGATCCCTGTGCCTGGGCTACTGCCGGTGTGCCATTACCAATGCTTCGGACCCTTTCCTTGGGCGCACGATCTGGTGACGGTGAAACCGAGGGAGCTCGACTTGGTGGACGCTCATTGACAGGTCGAGGAGAGATAGGCACATTGTCAAGCACAATGCCATCGGGAATATCATCGCCATCATCTTCGTCGCACTCGTGTTCCAGCTCTTGCAAGCTCTTGCGACGAGTCGCCTGCCAGCTTCCGCGTCGAGGTCGCGGCTGAGGCTTAGACGGCAGGTTGATATCTCTAGGGTTTAGGGACAGGTTGGGACTGGTGCTGCGGTTTCGTCGTGCGGCGGGCAAAGAAACTGTAGAATGTGCTCTGTTCAAAGAAAGAGATCGTGGATCTGTCAGCCCCGCGAGGCTTGTGCTTCGAGGGTTGGACGCGTAGACGCTGGTATGGAGATTAGGAAACGATCGTCGCGGCTTCGGACCTGGAGGTCGCTTTCCACCGGCCAGGTTACGAGCAACTGGCGTCACCAATGGAGTTGGCCCAGGGCGGACGTTGACTTTGAGGGTGACATTGTCGTCGTCCAAGCCGATGTCTTCGAAGTGGCTAACATCTGCCAACACACTGCCGTCATCACTGTTGAGCGACTGAAAGGAGGAAGATTTTGAGCTCTTAGACGTGGTCATTCCGGGAGGAGATCCAGGGCTCGGTATAATGTTGCTAACGACTTGTTCGTGAATCATGGCTGCATTTCAGAGGATTCAGCACGGTGGGTATTAAGTGATTGCAGGAAACCCAAGACTATTAAGGAGCCCAAAAAAGGAACTATTATATTGTTTCGTTCCGCTCCCTCTGCAGGTTTGGCGTGAAAGAATTGTTTGCGAATATTTCGCCGTGGCCAGGAGCCGCAAGGACTCACGAGGACCAAACAATGAACCGGTCGTTATAAGCAATCGTGACAGTCGTGGATTCTAAGCTTTTGCGTTGTCGTATCGAGGGTCTCTGGGGCCGTAGACGCGGGGAAAGGGGAAGTTGAAATCTGAGACGACGGATACGAACGATGGGTCACGGGGACGGCAACGGCGTGTCAGAAGACGGGTGTGAATGATTGACAGGCCCCCTGACGATAAAGCAAAAAGTATAAGGTTACAAAAAAAAGACAGCGAAGAAACGAAGTGAGGAGTTCAAACGAGAGAAGTAGTGAGGATTGAACGAATGGGCGGCGGCTGCCAATGAGGGAAGAGCCGGTGCCGATGATGAGCAAATGCCAGATGCAGGACACTGGATGCAAAATACAAAAACGAGAGAATATGCAGTCTTGTTCTGAATAGTCAGAGGGCAAAAGCAGAGTGCCAAAGTCAATGACGAGAGGGAAGCCGAATAGGAGGGCACAATTGCAGCATCCTTGGACCAAATCGGCCTTGGAGAGTGCCAATCTCCGTCTTCGCCCCCGCCCCTCTCCTGTGCACCTTTTTGCACCTTTGCTTGCTCCAATCGTGATGCAGGCGTCGGGGTGGTGTGAGCTTCCGTTCCTTGGCATGCTTGTTATTTTAGTCCAAAGGTAATGATCAATCGACCTCCATTGCATCCCAACTGTCCCCCCCTCGTCCAGTTAGACGCCTGCATCGCCGCCGCCAAACGCACAAGGATGGGCCGTGATAGCAGCAACAGATGGCCAGGGCCCAGGACGGACCCGCATGGCCAAACATGAGGCACAGTGGCACACGAGACGAGGCGAGAGAGTTTGGACCCGACGACACAAGAACGGACGGATCGACATGGCCCAAGAGCAATTGACCTGGAACCGGCAGTCCCAACGACGCCAACAACGCCAAGGCAACCAGGCACGACGGACCAAGGACCAGACGAATGAGCTAGACCTCATTATCCCTGGCACCGAGCACGATCCTCAAATCCAGCGGTGGAGACTCGATGGATCAACGATGCTTGTCGATTCCGCGGTGCAACCAGCTGAACCGAACCAGAGATACCCACTCACTACTCGCACCAAGTGCTCCGTCGTCTGTACATTGTTCAGACAGACAGACAAAATAATATGCCACACGGCAAACAATACTTGTCTGGGGAAGTTTTGCGCCCTGCCCCTGGTGCCACGGTCCAGAGCACTAGGCCGTCTCGTGGCGTACGGAGCACAACACCGTTTGACTGAGGGCATCCGCAAATCCCGGGCCCCTATTCAAGTTGCGCGACCATGGCATCCAGTACAATACATAAGCGCCCAATCCTCCTTCGCACTACCGAGTACGGAGCATTCGAGAACAATAAAAACCTGCAAACCACCAACCAACCAACCAACCAACCGTGGTTTCGCCAGCAAGCGATCACTGTGACCGCTCCGTGACGCAAAAGAATTGGCGCAGTACGGAGTACAAACCTACATAATACACAAACAAAAACCCAAAGACTCGCTTTTGGTTGGTGGTAACTACTCCGCACAACATGCGCCGTGACAAGGACCGACCTTTGCTGGTCCTTCTTCAGGGCACGGAATTCTGAACCAGGGGTCGTGAAGCAAAGACAGGGAGACGCCAGATAGTAGTACAATGCTACTACGTAGTAACTACTAAGAACCTCCCTGCCCTGTAATTGCACCCATACTGCTGTGCATGTACATATTGTCAATACAGAATGCACCAATAAAATGGTACTCGATCGTTGGTGCATTCTGATGTCCCATATGGGGCCTAGCTTTCCCGCTCAGTCAAGGAATATTTTTATGAGACATGGGAGTCTCGGAGCCGGTCTAGACTGATAAAAACAAAAGCCCTTTGTTGATAAGTCTAGGGAGACAAGGAATGGGACTGAAAGTTGTGCCAAATGTCCATGGTGATATTGATCCGGAGTACATGTACCAGAGACTAGTACTTGAAGTAATCCATATTTATGGCTGCTGAAAATTACCCTGGGCCCCATATCCTGTCCCCTGCAGCCCAGGATCCCATTCATTCGACTCCCTGGTCGCTCTAATTACCCCATCACGACGCGAAAAGCAGTCGCCGTCTCTGCTTGAAACTCCATCAGTGGAAGAAAAACACTTTGCCAACGTAAATTAAAAACAAACTCTACAACCAGCTTAGAACAGGGAATGCCAGCCCAGTCTCTTCAGGGCCGGCCCGGAGGCGTTATCAGCCATGGGTAAAATTATGACCTTTAATACGGAGTAATATGTGACGGATCATACCAGGCATTATCAACACAGTCCATGCAGGTAGGTGGTGGACAAGGGCCTGACAAAGTTTGAACATTACTTTTACAGCATGCATAGGGGCACCGGAGGCCTATTAACCACCTCACTTACGACGACCATCTAATAATAATGTTGCACGTCTTTGTATTTTGTGTAGTTCCAGAGGAGAGGAAAAAAAAATCAGTTCTCCGTGGTTGGTTGGGAAGGATGTCACGCGGAGACTATTGGTGTTTAGGGAGGGGAGTCATCCTCTATTCACACTTGTTTAAACACTAAATCCTTGAAACATAGGACTCGGTGACACAGGCAACCTTTACTTGAAGCAGGCATTGCTCATCTTCGCTGCAACATCATTCCAGGAGAATGTAAAGTAAATCGATGACCTTGCCGACGTGCACCGTGGCTTATTGACACCGACGCACGCCAACTACCATTCATATTTTCATGATTTTCTATGGTATCATTACAGGTTGTCTTCACTTTACTTTTTGCATCCAGGAACCCACCCCTAGTCCATATCTATCATACCTCAGATCTGCCAATATCCCCCTTTACATACGCTCACGCCGTCGAGGCGCGGCTCGAATGATGTCGTCTACTCGCAGGAGAAGCTGTACACGGTTTGTTAGTTATCCATCTTTCTACAGAATTTTGGCGTAGCTGGAAGTGAAGAGTAGAGGATGCTTACCTCGGCTGCTTCACTGGCTGATGATACAACCGCGCGCTTCAACTTGTAACTCTCAATAACGCCAAGATCCCGCATGTCTTCAATGCCACCGCCGGGCTTCATAAGATCCAGACCATACGTAGTCAGCCCATCGTAAATGGTCTTTCGGAGTCTTGAAACAAGATCACCAGAGTCGAGACCGGCGTTATCGGCAAGTATCGTTGGCAGTTGCCTCAGGGCAACGGCGAAGCTAGACACTGCCAACTGCTTCTTGCCATCAACACGAGTGGCGGCACCGTCAACAGCCTTGGCCATGACCATCTCAGCACACCCGCCACCCAGCGTCGTTCTAGGCTCAATGACAGTCTGGGACAAGACGGCCAAAGCATCGTGCAGACTTCGCTCAGCCTCGTCCAATAGCTGTTCAGTGGCACCACGCAGAACGATAGTGCAAGCCTCTCCGGCTGACACGCCAGAGAACTTGATTAGAGTGTCCTCTCCAATAATGACCTCCTCGATTAAGTCGCACGTGCCCAACTTGACCTGCTCGGGGTGGTCAAAGGTCGAAGCAATCTCACCACCAGTGACAAGGGCTAAACGCTCAATACCATCAAAGTCGGCGTGCTCAATAGACATTATACCAGCATCAGTAAAGAGCTGCTCGGGCCAGTTGTAAATGAGCTGGCGGTTAATGAAACAGTTGATGCCGTGGGACTTGATCTTGTCGACCTTGGCCTTCATCTTATCCTTTTCGGCCTTCTCGAGCTCGGCAAGTTTGCTAGTGGCCCCGACCTTCATTCTAGCACCAAAGATTTTGACCTTGTCGGTATCCATGGACGTGTTGGCAACCAAAATCTTGGCCTTTTCTAACCTCTTGGGCTGGTTGACACCAATCTTCTTGTCTAGAATGAAACCCTCATCAAGGTACGATTCACTCAGCTTGCCACCGGCCTTCTTAATGATTTGGATGTGGCTAAGATCGGATGACTTCTTTAGCCGGAGAACCGCATCGCAGGCAAGGGTGGCGAAGTGGTCTCTGTCTTGAGCCAAAACCTTGGAGCTCAGCGTCGTTCGTGCGATAGAAACGAGGTCCTTGCGGAAAGCCTCGGGGCTCTTGCTGTGGTCAACGGCGGACTCCTCGAGAGCTTTAAGAGCAGCTTGACTGGCTATCCGGTAGCCTTCAATGATGGTCTGGGGGTGAATCTTTTGGCCGACCAGCTTCTCAGCCTCTCGGAGTAGCTCAGCGGCCAAGACAGCCACCGAGGTGGTGCCATCACCGACTTCGTCATCCTGGACTTTGGAGATATTGACCAGCACCTTAGCGGCGGCATTATCGAGAGCAATAGATTTGAGGATGGTAGCACCGTCGTTGGTAACCATGATGTCGCCGGTGGAGCTGTATCAGGGACAATTTGTCAGGATATCTTTTTGTTGCGGGGGGCTGCAAAACTTACGCCGACTGCAAGATCTTGTCCATGCCTTTGGGGCCCAAGGTGCTCTTCACTAAATCACCAACAGCAATGGCACCAACAAAGGCGGCGAGACGCGCATTCTCACCCTTCTCCTCTGTGGTGCCTTCTTCGAAAATCTGCGTCGGCTGGAAAGACTGTATGGCGGGGTGAGGGGGCAGGTTAGCTGCGGTTCAAGAACTCTGCCGGCAAATAATTGGCATCTTGTGTAGTCTAAAATGCTGTACATACCATGGCAGGCTATTTGGAAACAGAAGGAAATACAAGTCAGCAGGCCTGATGTTGGTGGTTGTCGTGCTTGAGTTTCGTGACCGCTTTCCACACTGCGAGGCAGCCTCTTTTTTTGAAGCTCTCCTAAATTCGCCTGCCACACACGGTCTGGTCCATCCAGGCCCAACTGCTCCTAGCCGCAAATTCAACAGCCTTGAACCCCACTATGCAACCGCCGACACCTCCCTCCCACGTGACTTGCCCCTCGCGGTGGAAAATTGACGGCGAAGGATTATCGCTTCTCCGCCGCACACTTTGCGGAAACTGAAGAACACCAAATTTGTGACGGCTGTAAGACCCTCAACGAGGAATTGCCCATCCTAGCCCCAAGTCAACCGCTACACGCTGCACTCGCCACCGCCTGAGGCCCGTGACGGTGATTCAAATAACCTCTAAACGAAACGAAGCGTCGATATCGCACTTCAAAACACCTATACCCAGACAGCCACTTTGACGCACAAACGAATCGTCTTAACGCACAACATTTCGCTGTCGCCCAAGCGGGGCATTTTTCGCACCCCTCCCTAAACGGAGAATCTTCGCCAACATGGCTCCGTCCTTCGATCACCTGCGCGAGGCCGACCTCGACGACGATGAGTTCAATGAGGAGGATATTGATATCTCGGACCTTCGCGAGAAGTTCGAGGTTTCCTTGGAACAGGGCTATGATGCCTTTGTTGTTATCGACGGCTTGCCCGCAGTCACTGAGGACCAGAAGCCCAAACTGGTCAAGTTTTTATTGAAGAAACTCAACTCTGTTGGAAAGACGAGAGAGGATTTGATCCACATGCCCATGGGTGATGATGGAAAGTCTTTGAGGTAAGTCGCGGTAGGACAAAAAAAAAAAACATGGGCAGCTTGAACCAGGTTTTCGGGCAAGGACGCTGGTTTCTTTCTTTCGAAGCTAACTTTTATACTCTCAGTTTTGCCTTTGTTGAATATTCTTCACCTGCCGAGGCTGCTGCCGCCACGCGACAGCTGGACTTGGTTCCCCTTGACAAGAAACACACTATGCGCGTAAACAAGCTTACAGATGTCGAGCGCTACGGCGGTGAGGGTAGAATCGATGAGAAGTACACACCCCCTCACATTGACGAGTTCGCCGAGAAGGAACATCTACGATGGTTCATGAAGGACCCTTCGGGCCGAGGACGTGACCAGTTTGTCATGTACCGGGGTGATACCGTTGGAGTCTTTTGGAATAACGAGAAGGATCAACCCGAAAACATTGTTGACCGTCAACACTGGACTGAGACCTTCTTGCAGTGGTCCCCCCTTGGCACGTATCTTACTTCAATCCACGCCCAAGGTGTTCAGCTCTGGGGTGGTCAGTCATGGTCCCGACAAGCCCGATTTGCTCACCCATACGTCAACCTCGTCGCCTTCTCCCCCACCGAGAAATATTTGGTTACATGGTCTAACCGACCTATTTCCATTCCTGAAACCGGCCACCCCGCCCTTTCCATTGACGACGATGGCAAAAACTATGTCATTTGGGATATTGCCACGGGTATTCCTCTGCGTTCATTCGCCAACCTTGATCTCCCCAAGGCCGAGGAGGGCAAGCCTGCGCCAAAGCTGCAATGGCCGGCTTTCAAGTGGTCTGCCGACGACAAGTATGTTGCTCGATTGACTCAGGGCCAATCCATCTCTGTATACGAGCTGCCACGCATGAATTTACTGGACAAGACTAGCATCAAGATTGAAGGCGTCATGGACTTTGACTGGGCACCTGCTACGGTCCAAAGAGAAGGTGTCAAGAACTACGAACAACTCTTCTGCTTCTGGACTCCGGAAATCGGCAGCAATCCTGCCAAGGTCGGCTTGATGAGCATTCCCTCCAAGGAAATTGTTAGATCACTCAACCTCTTCAGCGTCAGTGACGCCAAGCTGCATTGGCAGTCGGAAGCTGCCTACCTTTGCGTCAAGGTCGACAGACACTCCAAGTCGAAGAAATCACAAGCCACGACATTGGAGATTTTCCGAATCAAGGAGAAGGGCGTCCCTGTCGAAGTTGTTGACACCATCAAGGACACTGTCATCAACTTTGCCTGGGAGCCCAAGGGTGACAGGTTCGCCATCATCACCACCACCGAACCAGTCGGCGTCACGGCTGTGCCCCCCAAAACTGCCGTCTCATTCTTCTGCCCCGAAAAGGTCAAGGGGCCCATTGCAGGCAACTTCAAACACCTCCGAACACTGGACAAGAAGAACAGCAACGCCATCTACTGGTCACCGCGCGGACGATTCGTTGTCATTGCCACTATCCACAACCAGCAGAGCTCCGACCTCGACTTCTTTGATCTCGACTTTGAGGGCGACAAACCCGAGTCTGACAAGGACATGACCGCCAACCTACAGCTGATGAACACTGCTGATCATTATGGTGTCACCGATGTTGAGTGGGATCCATCTGGCCGCTTTGTCGCCACCTGGGCATCAGTATGGAAGCATGCCGTAAGTTGGCACGACGTATTATAACGAAGCGTTGAAATGCAAACATGAAACTAACCATGATACCACTTAGATGGAGAACGGCTACCACATTTACGACTTTAAGGGCGAGACCTTGCGGGAAGAGCCCATTGACAAGTTCAAGCAATTCCAGTGGCGACCGCGACCCCCGACGCTGTTGACCAAGGACGAGCAAAAGCAGGTCCGCAAGAACCTGCGCGAATACAGCCGAGTATTCGAGCAGGAAGATGCCGACCGTGGCGCCTCGGCAGACCTGGCTGTGGTTGAGGCCCGACGACGCATGCTCGAAGAGTGGTACGCCTGGCGCGCCGATGTCGAGGAGGAAATTTACGAGGAGCGTGCCGCCCTCGGCTTACCGCAGGATCCTCACGCTGCGCTACTGGAGTCCAAGACCAAGGCTATGGGCGTTGACAGCGCAGATCAGGAGCAAGTTATTGAGGAGATTGTGGAGGATGTCTTGGAGGAGAGTGAGGAGGTTCTCGCATAGGTGTGCGAGGGGAACGGCGAATGAGAGCATGAAATGTTGGACGAGATGGATACAACAATGTTCTACAGGCTTGCATGGAGAGCAGGTGCATTGGCTTGTACTGGTAAAACAAAATGTTGCTTTAGAGTCTGGGCACTTTATAATGAACTTTATTTTCACTGTTTAGTTCACATAAGCTTTGTTCTGGGAGTATAGGTGATTTGCATGATTTGGTGACAGGAAGCAGGGCGCACAGCCACCTAGCGAGTCGTGTCGCCACCACTTGTTATTCCTCTTATTGTGGAAGCAAGCTGCTTGACGCGCCAGTCAACCAACATGCTTGATTTCGAGCAAAGAACTCTCGGTTTTGGTCCCTGCGCAGTACTCCGTACTCCGTACGGTGTTTCAACACGCAAGATGCTGATGCGCCGTCACGCCACCAGGCAGCCGCACCAATAAAGCCAAAGAGTGTCCATAAAAGACTTTTGGGGGAAAAGGTGGTGAGGCGGAAGTGCCGGCGGGACGAAGCGAGCCAGTTACAGGAGGGCATCCCAAGAGTGTGGGTGGCAGCGGTCTTAGCACTCCCGTAGTACATACGGAGTACATACTACTGGTATGCACTGACAGGACAACCACGATTTATTGGCCACTTATGACATACATACATCAAGTAAGTACGGTAGAGTAATAATAGCCAGGGGTTAGACACAGATGCCAGTATTCGTAGCAATGCACTATTATGTATAGAGTGTTCAGAGTTACTCTTATAAATTATACCCTCACTTTTGTCTCTTGGAATATGCATATGTACTCCGTACTAGTAGACCTGTTTGGTGTGTCCACGTCCTACTTCAAAAAGTACTTAACATTGAACTTGAAGCACTGCCCTGTTTGGTACTGGTTGGCTAATAAACTACGGGTACTCCGAGTACCAACATCAACGATGATACCAAACCTTCAGGCATCACTGCCGCGACACGCGGACGATGGCCGTCTCACCCCCAAGGCCTCGTTTTTTGTACCAGACATCGACCCTAGTGATGCTTGGCTCGGATTGAGATTACCTCTGAGGAGTGCAGCAAAATCAATGCGATGGTGTCGCCGGGCTGGAGGTGGCGCCGATCCCACCGCTCTCCGCAGCGCTCTTACAAGGGCAATGGTATCTTCAGGCCCCTGTTCCCTTGCCGGGTGAAACAGCGCAACATGTTTTGGAAAACTGCCGCGCTTAACTCATGCGAGTGCCTCGCTTTGAGCTTGGGTACCCTGGCGAAACGAAACGGACCTGATATGCTGCTGGTGCCTGCTGGACCAACGCTCGTCAATATTGGTGCGGCTCGGTGGCCGTCAAAACCCTACTCACACGCGCATGCACAGTATATTGGTGAGTTGAGTCCGCACGCACAAAAGTTAAATAGCACCGGCATGAATTCAAGTGTTTTGTCATGCATTAAAGACAATTACTCGAGAATGTGGAGCACATTTGTCAAGCTCCGACATCCGAGACCGCGAGGAATATTGTCTACGGCGTCAATTCAGTATGCATGGCATGTATGTATGTACTTTATCAATCGGCGATACGAGCTTCCAGCTTCCTTCCCTGCTCTTACTTGTTGTCCAATCCCATCTTTCCGACTATGGCGTATGTACTTAAGTACTTCGCGTATAGGCCGCTATGCAATAGTACAGGTTGATTTTTTCATACTACATCACGAAAAGCAGACCAGCGTTTTATTACCGTGTACAAATAAAAATATATAAAGCGCAGATATGTATGGGTGTGTAACCCTGTCTTGAAGAGGGATGGTCTGAACCACGTCTGATTGGAAAAGATTACTGTGAGGACAATCATCAAGGTGCGCAGGCAAAGGTACCGGCAAGGGACGTTGTTTGCTTCATTCTTGGCCGGAAAAGCGCTGGTATGGATACAAGCAAGGGGTCGTCGAGTCACGCAGAATCTCGACTTAGCCTTCTGACGCAGCGGTTGTACGGAGCATGTGCTACTTCATATAAATAATCAATTAGT